GGGGTGAGAGGAGAATGCTGCTTTTCACAGAATTGACTCTAAACTCATAGATTACATAGAATGATTTGGATTTTTAAACTCATTACTTTTTCAAAAGAAAAAATGTGGAGATGAAAAAGAAACGTTCCAGTCATCAACTATTCGTCCCCAAAAGAACTTTATAAAAAAAGGCCAGTTTAACCTATACTCATTAACTTTTTTTTAACTTGCCAACCTTATTTACATTAGAGAACAAGCTATTTTCAAAACTCCAACAATGTAAAGACAAGCATAACCCATCTGCCAGATACTTCATTAGGGCTTGTTTAAATATTTATATTGGCATTTATATTTGGAACAATAGTGGCTTATTACAAAGAAAACATAGCTGTGTTTAACATGCTAAGTCTGGGTAAGTTTATTCAAGATTTTGACAAAAATGATTGCCAAAGTAATATAAATGTAGACACTTAAAAAGCCCAGGTGTTAAATTTCAAGAAAACATTGAATTCAGTCTGGAGTCATTATTAAGTCAAAAGTTGAACTAGTTCTACAAATCATAAATACTGTTTCTCCTCTTAAATCCATTATATTTTTGAGATAGGTTACCAACTTAGTTTTCCTTTCTTTGATATTGCTGTTTTGAATCATTTTAACATGGTTTACATCTTTAAACTCTCTTTTGTAGTTATCCTGAATATCATTACAATTAAAAATATAAATCCAGAAGTGACAACTCTTCCTTACGGAAGAATTCCAATTAATAAATGTAGAAAGAATGAAACAGAAAATCACCATTAGAATACCACTGTAGTAATTGTCACAAGCAAGATCTACCAATGGATACTGAGTGGGCAAAAGTTAAAGCAGAAACAAAACATTTGCATAGTCTCAAAGTATCTCCCCCCAAATATTTAGTAATTACAAAGGGACACATAGTAAATTTATAGCAGAGAATCCTAGCAGAAACCCCCTTAGCCTACTGATCAAGGTTAACAACAGCAAAATGCATTATGACATCATGTGCCTCCTAATAGGATGCACTGTGGAGGACACTACAGAGACATGACAATTAAATGCAATGTGTAATCCTGGGTTGGATCCTGTAACAGTAAAAGGACATTAATGGAAAGAATAATATCTACTTTTTAAATTCTCTACTTATGTTAATAGTATTGTATCAACGTTGATTTCTTAATTTTGACAAATGTTCTATGGTTATGTAACATGTTAACATAAGGGGAACTTGGGTGAAGGGTATACGGGAATTCTGTGCTATTTTTATAACTCTTCTGTAAGTCTAAAATTATACCAAAATTTTAAAATTAACTGTTAAGAAACAAATACATATATGGATATATCTGCATTGTGTATGTGTACATGTGTATATAAATCAAGACTTCATGGAAAATGGCATGTTGGGCACTTGGTAAGTTAAATACGAGTGTTCTATCCTGAATCAGTAATTATCTCACTGGTTTATGGTAACTTAACTTTAAGGTCCT